ACTGTTTGAAGTACTTTGTATTCCTCTAAATAAATAGTAATACTTTTTTAATACTTAGCATTTCTTTTTTTTAAACTAATTCTTGTTTACTTATTTTTTTAAATCTCTTTACTGCTGATCAAGGATTACTGCTGTTTATTCTTTGATGTGTATATATATGTCCTCTTTCCATCTTACATATAAAAAAAAAACAGTCTATCGACATAATTCGGTTATATTTCAGCTCTCATCATAAATACTGTCTTTCTTTTAGCAATATCTATCTCTTCTGAGCACTGAGTTTTATTCAAATAACAGCCCTTACCTTGCCCTGCATATAGCTTCCAACAAGTCTTTCATTTACTTACCCTAGACCTATTAACAATCAAAATTACCAAGTGTATGTCTCCTGATGGTAACATAACATCCCTTACTTTCGACTTATATCATTGTTGCCACGTCACTAGAGAAGTGAATCGAGCCTTACTTTCTGTCCTTATAGTTATGTGGTTAGTCAGTGGACCTCCTTTTACAAGGATGTGTCCCATAACGGTGTCTCTCAGATACATCCAAACACAGATCGATTCCAGTGTAAACAGTGAAAAAACAACAAAAAAATGGAATAACTAATGTATATTTTCATGGGAAATTTCAACTCTAACTGAAATCTTCTTAAGCGGGATAATTACTTAACATAAAGACCGGTATAGTAAATCTGGTTTACTGGTTGTTTCTTTAGCTCAAACCTAGAGTGCCAGAGGTTCGATCCCTTTCCAGAAAGGGTAAGGTATCATTAACAATATCAATGAGTCTCTACATTATATAATTGTCTATACATGTTCTCCAGTTCAATATACTGAATTATTTTCTGTTTATCAAGATATCTGTTATGCCGAATTTTCTGAATCTGAGTTGAAATTAAGCGACCCTCTCCACAGATTTCTTGGGCTTTATGTACAGTTACTCAGAATTTCTACATATAGTGATAAACAATAATTTAAGTTCTTTTTTATTATTATTACCATTAATCAAAATATTTTCTTTCACATATATGCACGACTTTTTTTATTTTTTTTTATTTATTCTACGAAAGATTTGAACATAATCTCCGTAAGTCCGTAATTTCTAGCATCTTTGTCCGATTCTTCGCAAGTGACTTTGCCTTCGACCATCCGAGTGGGTAGAGTGAGTGCTTCTAAACAATAACTAATATAAATTCTTATTTTCTCGGGATTGCAAGTCTATATTCACCTCCCCTCGCCACATTTTTTTTTTTTTGTTATTATTATTATAATGATAATAATAATAATTACTATTATTATTATTATCATTATTATTAGTGAGTTTCTTCTTATTGTTATTGTTGTTGGAGTTGTTTGTACATTATCCATCACTAACATTACTATCACCGCCTTTATCGCCATTACTCTTATCATTATTGTTTTTTTTCCTCACATTCTTATCAATTTTATTATCGTTATGATTAGCACTGCTATCATCCTTTCTCATTACTAGTATTAACACGATCATTGTAAATAACATCAATTTATTTATTATTACCACTAAAACCGTAGATATTTCATAGTATTTCATAGTATTACATAGGCACCAATAAAACAGGTATTAACAATACATTCTTTTATTCACTCTGAAACGTTAAACAAACACAGCTCATCTATAAGCTTTGCCTTCTATGTTTCACAAACAATACAGATATCAAATCATTATTACATATTCTTACAATATTCTGCATCACTCTATGTATATATATTTTCTTTCTTTCTTTCTTTTTTGACAATAGCACTTTAATTGCCTATACATTTATTTACATAAGATGCTATTTCCTGCCAGAAAAGTTTTATTTCTACCTCGTGTTATCTCAATTTCCGTTTATTTATATATTTATTCTTTTTTTTTTTATATTATACAATGCAAAATCTATGTGAACAAATAACGCTAAAGAATTCTAGTAAATGTCGCTAAGGCCTATTGTTTTAATGGTAATTTTTAATTCTCATTTTTCATCTCCATCATTTACTTCCCTTTTTTGTTCTTCGTTTTATTATCTCTTTTTCCTTTCATTCTCTCTTTCCTCTTTCCACTTCTGTCTTTTCTTCCATCCTTCCCAACTTCTCATTTCCATTCCTCCCCTCTTCTACCCTCTTTCTTTCGTCTTCTTCTCCTCCCCTTTTCCACCCTTCCCCTCTTCTTTTCCATCTTTTCCATCTCCTCTTCTCCTACTTTTCCCCTCTTCCCCCTTTCCACTTTTCCCTTCTCCTCCTTTCCTACTTATCCCCTCTTCCCCCTTTCCACTTTTCCCTTCTCCTCCTTTCCTACTTATCCCCTCTTCCCCCTTTCCACTTTTCCCCTCTCCTCCTTTCCTCCACTTCTTCCCACTTCCCTCTTCCACCCTTCCCCTCTTCTCCCCCCCCCCTCTTCCACCCTTCCCCTCTCCCCCTTTCCTACTTTTCTCCTCCTCCTTCTTCCCCCCTTCCCCTCTTCTCTCCCCCCATCCCCCCTCTTCTCTCACCCCACCCCCCCTCTTCACAGCGGCAGCACCCACCCGCAGTCGGCGACGCAGACGGAGTGGGCGGGTCTTCGACATGCCTCCTCCACGACCTCGATGCCATGGGACACCCGACCGAAGGGGAAGACCGTCTTGAAACGTGGCCCGTCCTTTACGCTGATGAGGAACTGCGCCGCGGTCTCTGGGCGAGTGCTGGCGCGGATTATCTGTGGGAGGAGAAAGGAGGAGAGGAGAGGAGAGCAGGAGGACGTGGGGGAGGGAGGAGAAGGGGGAGGGAGAGGAGGAGGTGGTGGGGGGAAGGAGAAGGAGGGGATGGGGAAGGGGATGGGGAAGGAGAGAGGAGGAGAGGAGGAGATGGGGGAAAGGGGCAAGGAGGAGGTGGGGGAAGGGGGAGAGGGGAAAGGAGGAGATAGGGGAAAGGAAGAGGTGAGAGAGGGAAGAAGGAAGGGGGGGGAAGGAGAGAGGAGGAGAGGAGGGGGTGGGGGAAAGGAAGGGGGAGGAGGGGGAGAGGGGAAAGGAAGAGGTGGGAGAGAGGAAAGGAGGGGGTGGGGGAGGGAACAGGAAGGGAGAGGTGGGGGAGAGGGGAGAGGGAAAAGGGAGAGGGGAAAGGAGGAGGTGGGGGGGAAGGTGAGGAGGAAGGTGGGGAAATGAGAAAGGAAGAGGTGGGGAGGTGGGGGAGGGAGGAAGGAAGAGGTGTGGGAGCATCTGCAACAAATTGAAATAGATGCATGGGCAAAGGGGCTATCGGTCGGTTGCTTGCTTCAGTTGCATGACTCTCGAGATAAACTTATGCTTATCTTACGTAACTATAGATGATTGATGACGTTCCTTTGACTTGCAAGTTAAGTTCAAATAGTTAAATGCAAATTGTTATCTTGCGTGTTATGAAAAGAGGATTAATCAATGATTGTTATAAGTATTCATAGGATTATTTTGTAAGATTATTAATACAACCACAGTGATTATGATGATTATGATGATAATAATTATAAGATAGATACAGTGTGTAGAATAATGATAGCATTAAAAATGACAATGATAATGATTATAATGCTAATACTTCTGCTATTATAATGATGGTGATGATAATGATAATGATGATGATAATGATAATAGTAGTAATAACAGTAGTAAAATTCATGATAATAATGATATCAATATAATAATTAAAAAGTTGAAAAAACACGACAAAAACACAAACAAAAACGAACCCAAACTCACCATCCCTCTCTCGCATCTCTTGGCCACTTCCGGCACCCACGCCTCCCTCGCCGCCTGCGTCCCCGCCTGCGTCCCCGTCTGCGTCGCCGTCTCCCTCTCCTCCAGCCCTCGCATGATCGCTGCCCCTCCTTTGCCCGCCTTCTGCTCGTAGTCCCCCCCTGCCAGGCCCTCCCCCGCACCACCCCTGCGCATGACGGAGTGGAAGAAGGAGCCCTTGTAGGATGGTCCTCGGTCGCCCAGGCATAAGGAGAAGAACTGCTGGGCTCGGCGGAGGTGGATCTGGGAGGGAGGGAGACAGAGGGAGAAGGAGGACGGAGGGAGGGAGGGAAGGAGGGAAGGAAGGAGGGAGGGAGGGAGGGAGGGAGGGAGGGAGGGAAGGAAGGTAGGAAGGAAGGAGGGAATGTAGGAGGGAGAGAGGGAAGGAAGGAGGGAGGGAGGGAGGGAAGGAAGAAAGGAGGGAGGGAGGGTGGGAGAGGGAGGAGGGAGAGAGACAGAAGGAGAGGGACGAAGGAAGGAGGGAATGAGGGAGGAAGGGAGGGAAGGAGGGAAGGAGGGAAGGAAGGAGGGAGAGGGAGGGAGGAAGGAGGGAGAGGGAGGGAGGGAGGGAGGGAAGGAAGGAAGGAGAGAGGGAAGGAAGGAGGGAGAGAGGGAGGGAGGGAGGGAGGGCAGGAAGGATAGAGGGAGGGAAGGAGGGAGAGAGAGGAGGGAAGGAGGGAGGGAGGAAGGAAAGAAGAAAGAAAGGAAGGAAAGAAGGAAGGAAGGAAAGAAGAAAGAAAGGAAGGTAAGAAGGAAGAAAGGAAGAAACGAACGAACGAGAGAAGGAAGGAGAAACAGAGAAAAAAGAGAGATGGAGAGAGAAAAAGAGAAAGAGATTTAGTATTGTTTCTCGAAGAAAGTATTTTTTGTGTCTTCCTGTAGTGTCATGTTACTATTGTTATTGCTACTGCTGCTGTTGTTCTTGTCATTATCATTACAATAACAACAATAAAGATCACCATTTCTTTATTAGAATATAATTATGATTTTCGTTTCATTATCAATACCATCAATCTTGGCATATGACTCTGCTGTTATAACTAAAAAAAAAAGAAAAAAAAAAATAGATACGGCATATAGAGATATCTTTAAAGCTATTATTTTTTCTTTTCCTGTGGGATAGAAACTAGTTAATTGGGTGCTTTGGAGATAATTATATCTTTTTCTAGCTGAGTATTTCTGAGTAACTAACGGAGAGAAAAATCATTACAAAGCTCCTAGCTAATTATTGTGTTTG